CCAAGGACATACAAGGGCATCTAGACCTCTCCTGTGGCATCCAGGGACCAACGGGTGGGTGAGCAGCCATTGCTCAGTCCCACTGCTTTTGCTGATGGTCCCTCACTTGAAAATTATGCCGCTGTCAAAGGCTCCAGGTTAGCTCTAACACTTCTAGGAGGTGAAATACAGGATCATCTCTTTAAACACCTGGGTGATCCATGACATGATGCCCACACTGACCCTGGGAAAACTGTTTGAGCACCCTGGGAGCCAGCAGAGATGTGGAGAAACCTTCCCCTTCCATGTCGAGAGCATGACATCAGCCCACAGCTTCTAAAGAGGGCGGAAAGCTGCGTGCCGGACAGCAGGCTGCCCTCATAAAATGGGACCAGTTCAATGATTAGCTGCCCTGGAGTCCCTGGGCCAGTCCCTACCGGCTTCAATAGCACCCCTGCTATTATCTCAGAAAGACGCTTGTTATAGAAAATCATGTCCCTCTGCCAAGTTCGCGTGTCTCACTATTTTTGGAATGACAGGGGCAGGCTCTGTGCCTCAGCAACTGTCAGCAGAGCCACACAGAGAGCAAATCCATATAACGATCAGGCTAGCAAGGACAGTGCTGGAAACAGCATCGCCTGGGGGACGGTCCCCTGGAAGCACCCTTCGGTCATGAGAAAAGGGATAAGGGCAATAAACATAAAACCCAGAAGCTATTTGACACTATTTGCATGGGAAGCTGATCTCCCCCAGACCTTTTCATTCTCATGCATACAAGTGGAGACAAAAGGATTTAAAAGCAAACCACCTGTGCAGGAAGGATGGTTCCTAAACCCCAGAGAAGACAGGACCTACTTACTGCAAACTCATTTTAATTAAAACATTCCAGGATCCACATTCCCCAGGATTAAATTACTGACTTAGCTATTTATACATATAGCCTCTTTCACCCGTTCTAGGACAGTATTGTTCAGGTCTTGGATGACACCAGTGTCAGGTAAACAGAAACGAGCATTTTTTGGTGCTTGTGACCCCTAACACAGGATCCACAATTATCGACAGGTCAGCCCCAGCACCTGTCAGCAACTCACAGATTACTGCAGCAGGAGCATAATCCTCTCTGACACTAAAGGATGATTCTAAGGCCCTAGAAAAAGCAGAGGTAAATGGCTTAGGCAAGGTGGAAAGTTCCCAAGGCAAGGCTTTCAATTAAAAAGAAATAATAATTACAAAAACAGATGCAGTGAGCAAGGAAGACCTCGCATAGATGCAGCTGGAGCAGGACTTAAACTGCTTCCCCCCCCCCCACCAAGAGACCAGCAGAACTCCTTCCTTGCCTTTCACAGGAAAGGAATCTGGAGGTGCAAGTCCAAAACCGCCCAGCCCAGCGCTGGGCACGCACAGGGCCATGTCCAGCCTCTGCCAGCCTGCTGTGCAGCTAATATTTCCTCTTTAGGCTCTGAAAACTGTGACCCGCACCTGGCAGAGACAACACTTGCAGCTCCTACCACCTAGTGGCTGCAATACTTCTCTGTGACAGAGCAAAGAGGCTGTTTGGAGGTCAGGCAGCCTCAGCCCACCCTGGGCAAATAAAGCAGCCCTTGCTAGCGGGTATCGCTTATGCTGCGGCTGAGACTAAATTAGGACCACACTGAGCACAGAGGCAGTACAAGAGAACAGAAAACCTTTCCGAAAACCATTAGCAGCTAATGTAAGCATATAAAAACCTCAGCTAGCTCTAAAACAGGTGAGCAAAAGTAGCAGCAATATAGATGAACTCAGGCAATGCATTGCTGTTTCTGGTACTTGTCCCAGCTGAGTTAATGCTACATTACTGGCACTACATGACACTGCACTGCGCAGCACAGACATGCCCCAGGCTGTTTAAGTCAGCCCTAGGCTGTGTAAGTCAGGAGAAGAGTTTGCTGCTCTGCGTGGAATATTATACAAGAGTCAGAATTCAAATGGCTCTAGATCCAGCCAAACCCTCAAACCCTTTGAGCGCTCTGTCCTCAAACTGCTGCAGCTTTTCAGGTGCTTCCAAGGTCCTTCCCTTCCAGTTTCCACAATTTCCTCTTGAACTAGGCGGGCGGGTAAGGGGGCCATAACTGGACACCCCTATTACCGGTGCAGCCTCATCAGTACCAAGCAGAGGGGATAATAACTTCCCCTGAGCTCCTGAAGCAGTGCAGTACATAATTTAACTTATGTGCAATGAGACTGCGCTGCTGGCTCATGCTGAACCATAAGCCCCAGGGACCTTCCAACTGGGCTACTCCCCTGCCAGTCAGTCCCAGCCTGTCTTGATGTATCTTACGGGATCAGGCTGACTTTGCTTTGACAAGTGGTAAGAAGCCTCAAAATGGCTAGTTCTTGAAAAAATTTCTAGAGGCAGGCCCAGCTGGTCATTATTTACCCGGGATCTACATGGCAGACTGGAGTTATGCTTTGTTTTTTATAACATGAAACCGTTAATATCTCATTTTCAGAGTTTGGGCTGTAAGTGTGATACACGTGATGTATACCTAGTGAAACTAGGTATTGCTTTGTGTAATCCTTCCCCAACTCCAAACACAAGAAAGCGCTTTGGGGTAAATATGGCTGCAGGCCGACATTTTGAATAAGTGGTTACTGTTTTATTTTAATACATATATACTCTTTTCTGCAAGGTTTGTGTTAATGGAGGGGCTAACCCAATGCCATGTAAAGAACAAGCAGAAACCTTAAATACTGTATCAGCCTGGTTAAGCCCTCCTGGAAGGACTCTGTCCAGTGAATACCCTGCTGTTGCAATAATTTCTCTATTATAGCAATTATATTATGCTTTTATAAGCAATTTACATCTGGTTATTCTGGATTGAGGTGGGTGTCACTCCGTGCAGAATATGGACGAAAGACATGATGAACCACATTAGTCTGAAATCTACTTTTTCTTTTGTAAACGCTTCCCTTTTTGGTTTTGTTTATTATTGGAGGGAAGTGGTTTTCTGTTACTGACAATCCAGATAATGAAGCAAAGAGGGATTCAAGTAAAAGAGGAACCTGGGAAAGACTGGAAATAGCAGGGTCCTGCTATGACGAGCACCACTCCCTTGGCACCCTTTCAGATACTGACCAGCTCTGTGTTCAGGGCAGCAAAGGCTGAGGGGTTCTTCCCTCCACTCCTCTGATGAGAAGCTGGTCCAGAAATTCCTGTTCCAGGCTGCTCTACTGTTTAGCAACCTCCTTTTCATTTCCAGTCTAACTGTATCCATGGCCAGTCTAGACTCATTTAATCTTAGCCAGCATCTTGACAGCTTTGTTTCCCTCTTCAGTGTTCGGCATCTGCAGACATCAATCAGATCCTCTTTTTGCTTTCAATTTGCTAGTCTAAGCAGGCTGAGTTCTTCCTTTTTTTCCACTTTGCAAAAGACACTGCAATTACTTCATCAGCCCAGAAGACCTTGTCTGCACCCATAGCAGACTACATGCATTTTTTGAACATTATAGACAGTACTAGCACAGGGACCTTAAATCTTCCCTAAGTTCACAGGAAATACTCTACACAGCCCAGGAGGAGCACACTTGCTATTTTCACATTGCAATTCAGTAAGCAAAGCCATAGCAAAAAGCACAGCAATAAGTGGCAAAAACCACTGCTATCCCGCACCTGATCTCAAACAGCACACATCATTACTGGACTTTTCTGATATTTTACATGAGAACTTCAGGAAAGCCATTCAACTTTGGGCTCTGTCTTCATATTAGGATATAAAAGAGGAGTTTCCTTGGTTACTAGTGACAACAGTAAGCTTTAAGTTTTTTTTCTGATATACAGCACAGCTGGTCTGTGAACCACGTAAGCTGTATATATTAAAAAAAAAAAAAACAAACCCACAAAAAAACAAACCACCTCATTTCTATTACGTGAGTCTACCCAAGGGCTCCACCCTAAATGAGCACAACTCTTCAACTCCATAGCTGGCTGTTGCATCACCCCAGCAAGAAGAGAAATGGGTGGGTGGCAGGGTGCAATCGCCTGCCTTTTTTTTTTTTTTTTTTTAGTATTTTGGGTTTATGTAGGAGGAGTGAAGCCACAATTAAAAGGGCAAGTTTCTCCTGCCTCTTCTAAGAGGAAAGCAAGCTCTATTACCATTTAGCAATGGATAAAAAGCAACTGGAAAGGAGCTCAGGCAGTTTGGAAGAATTACACTGCAGAAAATGCTTTGGTCCTAATAACAGATTAGCTCAGGGACTCCCAAACTTACCTTGCTGGGACACAGCTGTGGCTACTGTCTCCATCACAGCCACCCCTCCCTCCACCACCCACATCAGCAACAAGCTCCCACCCACATGCACACACAGAGGAGGCTCTAAGCTGGACAGGCAGCACATGTGCAGCCCTCCGCTGAGCTACACATACCACAGTTGACAGCAATACTATCATTTGTCGAGAAGAAATACCAGCTGTGGTATGGATCTGATTCAGTGCCCACCATGTCAGTAAGATCCTTTCCAGTAACCTCAGAAGGATCTTTCATTCAGTTCTGAGCAGTATACAAAGGCTGGGAGATACAGGAGGCTACCCCTGCTTCCAAGTACAATTCATTGTGTTTGCAGATAATTCAATGCAAATACAGTCCTGTTAAAATTCAGGTAGCAAGACAGCAGAGCCTGAGATCCCACAGCAACCAGAGGACACTGCAGGTCTGTAGACATTTGCACATATGCATTTGGAAACATTCAATGGCACAGAGATGTTTCTAGGGAAGACAGAAAGAAAGGCTTCCCTATTATTACCATTTTGTTAGGGAACCTAGAACAAGCCAGGATTTTGTTTGCCAAATGCCCAAATGGCCAGCAGATGTTAGAGGTGGAATATAGCAGAATGCTCTGTTCACTCTTGAGCAGAGAAGTTTCTCCTGGATCTAAGGTGAATAATTATAACAGGCTAGGGACCAAATACACAGGATAGTGCCTCTGTCCTGAATGTGCCAGCCAGTGTCAGGAGGAAGGCTGTCCACTGCCCGGGCTATACTTACAGGAGTCTGGAAGCAACAGTAGAGCTTGGTGAGAAATGGGTGGTTCCTTGCTAAGGAAAGGATGCGTTTCTCGGTCATGGTGCATTCAACATCGTCATCTTGGAGAATGACGTCCTTCTTCAACACCTTCACTGCATAGAGCTGCCCACTCTCTTTCATCTTGGCAAGCATCACCTAAACCAAAGGGGAGGGTGAATTGCATGGGCTGAGCCCTCAGACTCTATGAGCAACACAGAGCCTCTCACCTTCTCACACTAGAAAGGTCAGTTATCTCATGACCAGGCTTGTGGATGCAAGTGAGTCAGCCTGTTAGTACGGGCATCAGTGTACAATCGATGACACATATGCTACTGTCTGCAGCAGGCTTCTCCGGATAGAAATGCCCACACACATTGCTCCAATGTCTGGCACGGGGCTAGCTGGTCGAAGCTCATCCACTGTGCCAGGGCAAACCCCCTGAGCAGTGCCATCCATCCCACTTCCCTCCTCAGTTATCAAATTCAAATGCACCATTTCACACTGGCTTTGTGGCAAAGCAGAGAAATGAAACCCCCATCTAACTGCATTTGAAACCACTGCCTGATCTCCTTTAAAGGAGAAGTCTCTACATGCTGCAAGAAATGCTGCCCAAACGAGTGCTAATGCACACACTTGCAATTTCTGGTATGGGCCCCAGCATGCAGCTGTTCCTTTGGTTGCTAACTTTTTGCTTTTTTGTGATATCCAGTTCTTCACTTTGCTGTCAGCTTGCTTTGTCCTTCCTTTTCTCCCTGCTCTCTGTAACCAACCTTGTTGCACAAAGCATACTCCACTGGACAGCCTGTGTGCCACATTATGAAATAACTTCATCTACCTTGGAGCTTCTTAAATGGGGAATGCGGTTTTCCCCAAAAGAGCCATGAATAACTCTCACCTTTCCAAAACTGCCCTTTCCCAATACACGAAGGAAGGTTAAGTCTTTGATCCCAAGTTTGCTCGCTGAACTTTCACTAACGTTGTTGCCATCTTTCAGGCTGCCTTTTCCCTGATGTTTCAAAGTAGATCTTGAAACCAGTTTCTGTGGAAGAAAGTAAATAAGCATCAGTCTGCATAGAAATTGTACTTTTGCCTCAGAGGTATACACAAGTAGTCAACCTACCAATCTGGGCATTTAGGACCTGTTCAGATGCACTGTATGGCCACTGGAACAGAAAGCATGTCGGTACCACCACCCACATAGCTGTTACGTGTGACCAGCCAATCTTGGCACTGCGCAGAGTGTGCTGAGATGTCAACACTGGTTCCTGACCTGGGCATTTTAAGCTGTAAACCCACTGCCCAGCAGATCCAAGAGGCAAGCCTGCCTCTCTCCATCCTCACTCCCCAGAAAAATAAGACAATGAGTGTGGAAATCCAAGTCTCCTATCTAACATCAGAGCGAGGAGGACTGCATAATTCCTGCAATATGCGAAGTGCTGGTGAGATCTAGAACCCAACCAGATTTCATCTGAATCTCTTAGGTTTCTACCTGATTTTAAGACCCTTACTCAAAGCACAGTTCAGTGGGACCCAAATTTCAAAAAATATTTTTCTTTCCCACAGCTGGGCTGCTGGCTTCCTCCACTGCTGTAAATTTGATGGAAGGCTGTTCATTCCCATGCCAGCAGTCCGGTGTCTGCATTTCCAGGAATTGTACCAATATTAGCACACATTTCTAGAGCTTCTGTTTTTGCAGTATACAAAGATCAAGTCAACCTCCAGTGCCCTCTGTTCACAGCTCTCCAGGTATGAGTACGCATATAAACCACGAGTACTTTTGTTCAGTTTATTAGCCCGAACAAAGTCACACGGACTTCTTGAGCTCCACCTTGTGACTACTTTAGTGTAAAGCAAAATTCTTCCTGCACAGACGACTTGTCTCACTGCTACAGAAACGGCAACCTCAGCCGTGGGGAAAGAACCAAGAGCATTCAGGACAGCACCCAGCAAAACTCCCAACAGCTTTAAGCTTACAGCACAATCTGAACACTTACCTAGAGGCCTTTAGCTCACAAATAACGAGAAGAGATTGTTAAACACCAAGCACAGACTTTTATTTTCCTGGTTTCATCTCCTTTTGATGTGCAGATTATGCAAAAAACAAATGCCAACAAGAGCTGATCTTTACAGAACTGAGAAGGGAGTGTGGGACTTGGGTTTTCCTGTAACTCCCAGGATAACTGTCCCCCTGAACTGCTGCAGCATGAAGAGCAAAGATAAGAAAGTCTCATTTGGTACAAACCAACTGAAATCAAAAGAGACAGCACAGCCTAACGAGCAGGCTAGGCTGATACAGTATCATGCGGTCAACCAATGTAGCCGACTAACTGTATGACGAGATTTACCAAGTCTGACAAGTATGTTTTGGGTCTTTTGGGTCAAATAAAAATAAACAGACCAACATTTTATTATGGGTTATTGTGGTTTCAAGCAAACTCACTTTTCAAAACTGCTAGCAAAGGAAACGTGATGAAAACTTGTTATCAAATGACAGCTCTGACTTCCATTACCCTTTATGGGCATTTTCACTCAAGCTCTTACAGTGTGTTTTAAACTCTCTGGAATAGACTCAGATATACAACAGCTGGATTTTTAGTATACCTTAAGTACTGACAAGCAGAAATTGTACACATATGTCCCAAACCTGGCAACAAGCTCACTAGGACCCTGGCTTGGACAGCAAAGACCAGAGATGATGTTGTGTTGACAGGGACCACAGATTTTAGCTGGGGAAAATGTAGTGAAGAGTGAAACGATTTCTCCAAAATCACTCAGAAAAACAGTGACAAAGCAGGGAAGAGAACCTAGGCCTTTTGCTGAGCTCTTCTTATGCTCTATTCCAAGCTACATATGCAGACAGTGCATTTGTGTTCGCGGGAAAGGTAAAAAAAGGTATGGCATGAATTATATTGACCATTAATTAGTTTGGGGTCTTATTCTCCTCTCATTCATGCCAAACAGATAAAAGAGTCAATGGAGTCACACCACTGTGAAACATAAACAGACAACAAAGCAACACCTACAGACTAAAGCCTCCATCGGGGTAAACCGGATATAAGACATCCATTTTCCAGGTGAAGTCTTTGCCACAAGCCACAGACAGTAACAACCTACTCATGCAGTCCACCACCCAACGCCACCTGCCATAACTGAAGTCTCTCACTTCTCCTGCACCCATATAAAGACTCAGTTGTAAATGTTTTAAATAGAGGAGGGGGAAAAAAAAAAAAAGAAAGAAAAAGAAAAACACTCACCGAATTTGGGGAAATGCTTCCTGGTTGCAGACCCATGCATGCCAAGGTTTTAGCAAGCTCTGCTGAGTTCACCCCACAGTTCGGTGCAACATTTGCTTGGCATCGGATGTGGACGTTCATTTTACAGACTGACAGGGGTGATGGTAGGGATGGAAAGTAAAAGCAAAGGAACAATTTAAATAACTTGGAGGGATTTATTGCTGAGAAATAATTCAGCAATTCTGCTTCAGGAAGTACCCCCATCTGGATCTACCCTGTGTCTTTAAACTAAAAGGATTTTTGCCACTGATCTCAGCAGAAACAAAATTAGGACTCTCATAAGAGAATAAACTCCTGAAAATCAGGAATATACCCCAAACTCTCCAAGTAGGATGCCACATTGCCCGAAGCTATTCATAAGCACATGTTTGTCAGGTATACAAATACCATTGCAGCTATGCCTGCAGGTAAAATTAGGATTTATAATGCCACAGAATTCACAACAAACTTCCCCTGCATTTGCAGGTATCTAATTTTAAAGATACACTGTTCAGTGGGAAACTAAAATCTTTCTTGCTCTCACTTGTGGACACACATACACCCTCTTGTGGGAGATGAAAGCAAATGAAAACTGTTTGTTACCCATACAATTTTCCAGTCCGGATCACTGAAACAAAAACATAACACCAGGACATGCTTTGTCGTCAGTTAATGGTGTGACAGATAGGGTAGTCAACCTAAAGCAATGACCCTTTTTTCCACCCCCTCAGATGCCTTTTCATTGCCTTATCTCATTAGGTGAGCAAAAGCCTTCAGGTAAAGGGAAAAATGAATGCAGGAAGCAGCAATACCCAAGAATATTTTCCATAATGCCAGTTAAACAAAGCTGTGCTGAGAGTGCAAAGTACAGTCCCTCTGGAAGCCTGAGATTAAAAAGTAGATCAGCGTTTTGTTAACTCTTGCAAAGATGAATATTCATTGCTCGGCTTTCTCTTGAAGGTTGCACAAATCAAGCCCACACAGTGCATCAAGAGTCTAAAAATATATGTATTTTGTGAAAAGGCTACAGTAAGAAGCTGCTCACTTTTACACTGGAGGCCCTGTCGCATGATTCCCCAGAGCAAGGAACCGCAGTGGTCGCAGAAAGTCGGGACTTTGTAGTTGTGGACGCTGAACTTATGAGGAATGTTGATTCCAAACCTCTGTTCAGTCACCTGAGGCACCAAAAGAAAAGCACAGATTTAAAATTCAAATACATATATATAAGCTGATGTTCATTTACATAAAGGCATTTAAGTGCAAAACTATGAAAATAATTCCAACTCAGAAAATGTCCCAATCCACCACCTCACTGAGGTTTACTGCAAGTGAACATTGAGTGACCAGCCACACCTGCCGCGAGTCTGCTCTGGTTTCCTTGCCGGTCAGGCTGGACTACCTGACAAAGCAGATTTTAAAAAGGGCTGCCTAGCCAATTTTAAATTCTTAAAACCAAGTTAGAAATAGAAGTGTGGGTTACCTCATCACAAACCTATCACACTGAAGTGCCACATACAAATTATGTTAGCTACACCATTTTGTAACTAACCGGTTTTCAAATTATTAACTTGCACACTATGTGCAAACATTTAACTTCAGGTCAAACTGTTGATTTTATTAAATTTAATATAGAATAGTTTTCCCAGCTCCTCCTAAAATTCTCATTCCCCTTCTCACCCTCCTTGTTATTAACAGGAGGGTTTCATTTCAGGCCCACATTTCACTTTATCACTTGCTCTCATCCCCTTTTTATTCTTGTTCTTTTCCAACTGTGAATTATGCAGATCTCAAAGACACCTTAGAAAACGTTAGATCGGCTGAAGAAACCCATCCCCATTGAACCTCTTCATTACTTTCCATTTTGTGTCTCCACATGCAGATCCTGAAAGACTGAGGGACAACCCCCAACTCCACAAAGAAAAGTCAGGGGTGCAACTCAAACAATGAGTTTAAAGTAAGCGGTGCCTCCTCACCCTTGTCTTCTTTTAAAGCAGCTTAGAGCTGTTATAAACCCTTCACAATCCTAGAAGAGAGGTGAGGAGACTAGCATTTAACTTGCACTTTAGCCTTAAGCATTTTAACTTATTTTCATCTGGTTTGGCAAGGGGTCATTTTAAGAAGTCTAGCTCAGCAGTTTGGAGGCAAGAAATAACGAGCAAAGGCAATTGCTTATCTGCACTGGAAAGAAGGTTTCTGCATGGCACACAATACAGAGCTACCTCCTAATTAAAAATATTTCAATTGAATTTTCCTCAAACAGTTATTAAACAATTTCCAGTTACAGAAATGAGACATGCAACGTACAGGGCAGTTTTAGGTGGGGATGTTACTCCGGTCAAATACAGCCAAAACTAGCAAGAAAGAAAACCTTCAGAAACACAAGTTACGCAAGGGTTCTTTGTTACAACATAAATAATTTCATAGAGTAAAGGAGTGGAGCAATGATGAAATGAGCACTTTAAATTACCAGAAAAGAAAAAAGAGGCATAACAAAGACCAGTGGTTAGATTTTAAAGCCAGAGAAACCCACATAAAGAACTGGGCACCAAATTTTGATGACAACACAGATAATCATGAAAGAAAATTACCACTGAAAACAGTGGATTTGCTATTTCTTGATGTCTTCCAATGAAGACACCAAGCCTTCCTAAACTATGTGCTAGTCCAGCCAGTTACTGGAATTAACAGAACCACCACCAGATGGGGAGTTGGACTAGATGACCTTTAAAGGTCCCTTCCAACCCAAACTATTCTATGATGATATTGTATGGCCTTTTTGCATGTCCCTATCACTCTTCCTCACTTGAAAATCTATGAATAAAGATAACACAGAGTAAATTCTTTTATAGGACAATCCCCAGCAACCCAGAAAACCTCAGGATTCGCAAATTATGATGACCCAAAATAACCACCATGACTTTACCTTGAGATCGGTCTTGTTAGTATTGTTTTGGCACGTGCAAGCTGTAACAATTAGATGATGGCAGCGCTTGTGTACAACACAGGTGCATACTAGGAAATAAAAGAGGCATGCTGAAAAGAGTTGTCGAAAGACCCCGAACACATCAACCCATCAGCTGGGTTAAGGCTCAGCTATATCAAGACACAGTAAAGATGTGGAAAAATAATTGGTGACCTGGAATTTCCAAAATCTCGTAACAGATCTGGAGATGTATCTCTAACCCATTGCAACAGAAATTCTGCACTGGATCACTCATACAGCCTAGAAAACAGCTGCCTATACAAAATATGGGTGATGCCCGCAGAAATAACAGTGTAACTTCACAAATGAACTAAAAAAATGCTGTTGAAATTATCCAGTGGATAGTATTTCTCACAACATACACAAACAATACTAGAGAACACAGGTCTGAGATATCAAAAGCCATACCTACATCTCAGTGGCATAGTGTCTCTTATACTGGATACCCGAGTGAGTCCTGCCCAGGTTAGTTTGTCATTAAGGCTCAGTGCAATGCTTGGATCTGGGGAGCTGGATAACTGCAGCAGAATGGTGCTGTGTCTGGGCTAATTAGCTAGTCCCCATCAAGAGGGCTAATCAACCCTAAAGCAGAGTTGGGCTCTCTCCAGGGCTGAAGCTGGCTTGGCTGGAATGAATTTGGATTCCTCTACTCCATAACCCAGTGTGCACTGTAGACACCACCAAGGGCCATAGCTACTGTCTATGTAAGATTTTTGTAATGGAAACTGTACATTGCAGATGTGTTGCAGGGTCCCACACTATTCTGTTTGTTGCTGACTCAAGCTTGCACTCATAACGGTCTATCAATAACATTCATTTCCACCCAGAAATTTTATGCAGGATATCCATTTTTTACATGTAGCTTCCTTTCATATGAGGACACCAGTGCTCTATTATATTGCACAAGAAACAGGCTGTGTTAGAAGGCTACACTGAGTGACCATATACCTGTGAGGCAAGTAATCAAATTAAAAAAATATAAAAAAAAAAATCTTACCACAGAAAAAGGGAAAGGAAGAACAATAATGAAGTGCAAACAAGCATCACATACGTCTATACAGCCATTCAGCCAAAACATGCATTCAGACAGAAGCACTGTGCCAGCCCACAAGGCTGCCCTTTGAAGTCACAGCCCTAGTTTCACTTTGTTGAGCTACATAGGTGGAGAAGGGAAGAGGGTGGCCATTCCAGTAGGATACTTTGTGTCCCAATACCAGCTGAACACTGTCCTGAAGGAACCCTGGATCTCTCAAGCCTAGCTGGGTGTTGCATGTACTCAGCAACTTGGTGGATCTGCACAGGGGGAAAACCATGGGCGAAATACAGCAACCGGATACCTAGGTGTTTGCATGAATGTAGGCAGTTGCTCCTGCATGCCTGCAAGCCGTCAGCCTGACAGCTGCTCAAATGCACAGTTTTGGCTGGCTGGGGAGGAAGAGGAGTGGTGACTTCAGAGAAGCTTGTAACTGCAGGATGTCCCAGCAGCACAGGAGAGTGCTCCTGAGCCAGCACATCCTACACACACACCGTGCAGGAGCAGAGCACCTTACCTTGGCACTGGTATCCCTGCTTCCCAAACACGCCCCTGTTCGAAACAAAATATGAACATGATTTAACATCAGAAAGCCAGTCTTCTTGCAGACATTTACAGAAGAGAGCACCAAAATTCAAGAGGATCCCAAATGACCAGATCCCTGGGGCAAAACTGCCCAGTAATAGTGAGGCAATTCAGCACAGGGGTGTGAGAGCGTAACAAAGCACTGTAAGGGCCGTAGCTTACAGGACAGGCTGTCAACATGCATGTTATTCCCCATATTCCCTCTCACTCTAATTTCTGAAATACCTCACTTTATTACCACACACACCACACTTATTAGACTGATCCCAGCAGCCCACACCCTGTTATTATGTCTCCCACTCCATGCTCTTTTGAGACATATCTAAGTTTTTCTCCCTGCTCTGCCTACTCCCCCACATGTATCACCCCGCACCTCACACCTCTGATGGCTTTTCTGTTCTCAGGCATTTTCTCTAGTCTTTCATGCAACTGTTTTTTGTCAGTGTAATCTCAAAGCTTCACTCAAGTTAATATTTGGGGTCTTTCTTCAGATTGCTTGGGTTACTTTTTCCCCCCCTGAAATAATATCTATGCTCACAAGTGAGGAACATTGCCCCATCCCCACACCCTCCAGTTTGCTTCCAGCATCCAAGATACACATCACCTCTGGCCTCTCTGTAGTAGACTCCAGTTTGCAGCATAAATGTACCCTGCTAAATCCGATGGCCAAGGGGAGTCACATCGGTGGCCCTTGATAAAGTGCTGGGTGACTGATACACGATCGGGGGTGGCATGTCAGTCCCCAAAATGTGAAGGGACAGAAAGCTCCACACCACCGCATTTGAGCCATTCTTACCAGATGAACTCCCTGCAGTGCGAGCAGTACGTAGGCTGTCGCAGGTAGGTAGCCATGAATTTGTGCCCGTTCACCTGGTGCACTCGCCTTCGCATCGCCCGCTGGCGTTTCCGAGTGAGGTTCTTAAAAATTCGATCCCTCGGGAGGGTCCCTGTGCAGAGGAAAAAAGAAGAAAAAAAATAGTTTACACAATCATGCAGTTATTGGTCCTGTTTTTGCTGTGGCACAAAATGCTTTCAAAGACCACGATTACATCCCTGGTTTAGAAGTCGGGGGACCACGCTCTAAAACAAGGAAAGCACCTGGGACAGGCAACAGAGGAAGTTAATTGCAAAGGCCCCTTTAGTTCAAAATTACGTTCTTCATCTAGAAATAACTGCCTCTTCCCATCCTCCTCTCACTCCTGTCCCATGTTGAGACATGTCACTAACCCATTAATTCACAAGCTGTAAACAGACCAGAAGCTCAAGGCTAATGAGTTATTATAACTCACAGCTTTTTGGGCAATAACTCCTGAAAACATGACTGCATGCAACCAACTGACCAGCCCCGCAGGGCACTTGCCAAGCCAAAGCGATGCCTTGCTCAGTGAATGGTGTTTATCCACTTCAGTATCATTGCTTGTAGCAATTTTGCTTCCTTGAATAAAAAGGCACAGCCTAATTTTTCAAGGACTGTTAGTTGTTAGATACGTGCCACTCTCAGCTTTCTTTAAAGGGTAGATAATATTTTAAAGTTCTGCGAAGCAGGGACCCAGGAACTGCTGGCATTCAAATCTGAATTGTCCTAAAATTTAATTTAATTTTTTTTTTTTAACTGGCTTTAATTCAGCCATATAACCGTTTCCTAGCAAAGCTCAATTTACACAAAACAAGTCACTCTTAAAAGGCAGAACTGAGCTCTAGATCAAGAAAGCCATTCCCATACAGCAGCAGCCATCTGACTTGCAAATCACAGCCAGCTGGTCTCTGGGATCCTCACACAGACCAAGTCAGACTCAGCTGAGCTTCCCAGATCAAAGCCTCATCTGGGGCACACTCGCCTCAGAAGAAAGAAATTTGCAGTTTTCGAGTCAGTTGCTTTCTGAAGGATAGGATCAGGCCCTGCTAACAAGTGCATTTTGGGGATATACAATGGAATCTGCTAGAGGTGATTATGCACTGATGTACTTACCCAGGGCTCTTGTTTTGAGCGTGGACTGGATGCAAGACAAATGCCAGCTATTGCCAAACCCTCCGCACGGATGTAATGACACAGGAAGGGACAGGCAGTCTGCAAACTTCCCACCCATCTGATCATCCCGGAGCAGTGGATTGGCAGCAGTACCCAAACACAGCTGTTACCCTACCACTTCATTTACCCATAAAAAGGGGGCAGAGCATTTCCCTGCTTTCAACTAGCTTTGTTGATTAACCACTGGTGGGGGGAAAAAAAAAAAAAAAAAAAAAGAGGAGAAAGCTGTCAACCTGATCAAGGCTTGAAATGTAAGAGTCCCACATCACAGGCATGTTTTCTGGTCCTCTTTGTAGGAGTGGAGATAAGGGAAGCCATCCTGTCAGTACTGAACCCAGCCACATCAAAGGGCTGCGAGCCACACGATGTATTCCTCTCAGTACTCTTGCCACGCAGGTTTAGAAGCAAAGCCAGCCATAAAGCTCAAGGTTTTTTCCCTGCTGCGCTCTCCCAGCCATTTGTGCATGCATCCCCTCCACAGGCACTAATGGAAACCTCCTACCTGATGGCGTAACTGCGACATGGAGCACGCCTTGACTTTAAGACAGCTTGCATTTATTTTTAAAATGGAAATACATGCTATAAATTAGGATTTTCCCATTAAAACAAAAAAAAAAAAAAAAAAAAAGGATGTGGTAGAGCTGATCCAAACACTTAACAGAAACCTGCTTTCTTCACTGCGGAGCTTCAAGCAGCTGGGCAGAGAGACTGGCACAGAAAAACCTGCTTTTCTAGGGAAGTACTTGAACATGTGTTTAATTCTCACTGAAGTCAACAGGACTCAGGAGACCACAGGAATTGCCAGACTGAATCAGAACATTGGTCCATCTAGTTCAGCATCCTGCCTCTGTCAGTGGGCAACCAGAAACACATGACAGCAAGATGGAGGAACCCTGCAGCTGGGAGATAATTTGCCTCGTTCCCACACACAAGATGTCATTTTGATCTCCAGAAGTGAGAGCTGATGTGCAGAGGTTTAATATCCCTTCCAAACATTCAATCATCATTGCACAATTTCAATAGACTCGTTATCCACCATAGGAAACATGGCTGAGAAGAACTTCAAGAGGTCAACCAGTTCATCCTGCCTCCCCAAAAGAAGAAGATCAAGAGCCAGTTCCTTCACTGAACCGGAGCCTCCTGCAGCTTCATGTGAGAATTTAAAAAAAAAAAAATTTCCAAAATTCCTTATAGCATTACAAAATTTGCCCACTTTTAAATTCAAGAGAACATCTCCTTGATCTAGGTTTAAGCACACACTTAAGTGTTTTCCTGGATCAGGGCCAAAAACCTCAACTGACAAAGTATCCTGTCTTGGTGTTCAGCACACACAGGAGAACTTCCAACGCTTCCAAAGGGAAGAGCAGGGTTTGTAAGTGGGTGACAAGCACATAAGTAAATCACCTAAAGAAAGAATCCAGTTACCAGCTTGCTTCATACCAGCTGCTCCATTAGAAGCCCAACAGCTGATGCCCCTTAAGTTCATGCACTCACATTTACCGGAGTTTAAGAGAATATGTTCCCAATTTAGCTCATGTAGTTTCTGGTTTTGTTACAGTTCCCCTCAAGGATCAGCATGGGGTAATTGCCCCCCTAGTGCTCTCCCATGCAGCGAGAAGCCCACACGCAGCCAAGAGCAAACCAGCCCTTTGCACCAGGAATAGGGGACACTCGAAGGTGGCCTGCAAAGCCACCGAGTGGGACACTGCTGTGCACCCCTGTGGTTTGCTTGCCTTCAGAGAGACTGCAATTTTGAAATGGTTCAGGAAGGTCAAGTAATGACAGGCATTCGCCTTTTCATTGGCAGCAGGGGAAGTCTCCATGCTGCCTGCACTGGTGGATCACATCCATAGCCAGCCTTGATCCTTCTTCTCAAGCTGTACTTGGTCACTATCTCCTGTTCTCCAGCCACCCATATCTCATATGCAGCATAACAGCTTCCATCTTACAGACCCACTTTTCATTAAAATACATGCCACAAGTCCTTTGTCTTTTTTTGTTTTAAAGCATCATTCATATTTAAAATGTTCCTCAAATCCCACATTTTCCCACACTACTTTGCTGCATTACCCTGCCAATTTCTCCAGATGCTGCATATCTTCCAAGTGATCCTCACCCATGCTTATATTCACCTCACATTACGTTATAACAAATCTAAGTGTTACTAAGCAGGAGACTGACTTCAGCAAGGCCTGCATTACTTTTCATACACAATCAGCTCTTTTGGGTACTGCTCTTCCCATTTCCTGATGCCGTCTCGATCAAAAAGGGGAGGGAGAGCACAGCACAACTTCAGCCGCACCTCGGGCCCTGCAGGTGTAGCTGCAGGAGACCATCTACCACATGATCTAGTGATCTACATATACAACCACATCCCACAGAATAAATCCTTCTTTCAGAGGGCTTGGGCATTCACCCATCCCACACACCACACCATGGAGCAGGCAAGTTCAACCCTCCAACAAGATGCAAGTGATTTTGAAATGGTGGAACATATTGCTACCAAACCCACCTTCCTCCTAACAACCAGCCTCCCCAACCACCAAGACGGCAGTTCCTCCACCCATTACATCTGCTAAACAGCTCCCAGCGCTGCTGGGCAAGAGGTTGTGTGCAGAAGCCATCAATGCAGCACTGAAGTCTACTAGTGGACAGGGTGGCCAATGCAGCAGCCCCTCGTGCCTCTCACCTTTGGTGTCAGAGGATGTAAAGTCATCATAGACATTTTCCCCGCTCATATTCTGCATTTTGGCCAGTTTCCTATAGAATATATATCTTCCTTCTGCATACGGAGAGCATTTTACAAAACAAAGCAGCTCTAGACCACTTTAGGAGACCCAGACTTCTAAAAGCCTCTAATCTCTGGTAAAGCAACAACCACCATGAATGGTTCAAATGTCCAAATACTGCTATAAAAACAGGGAAGTAATTGCTCAGTGTAGGGAGTTGTCCACATCCATGGTTAAATTTGGACGCCTATAACTATGGGGTATTCACTGTGCCTGGCTATGTGCAAAAGTAACTACAAAGTTAAATACTAAAAAGCCTCTTCCCTTTTCCTCCTCTCCACTCATGCCTAACACGTGTTTATGGCAGTGGAAATTATGCACGCAGAGGGAGAGGAGAATAAATAACCCACCGAGTCATCTGAGGACATCTGCATGCACTAGCACACCGCTCACCCACGCAGCAGCCTCATTACACTGCCCTACCTGCCCCTGAGCTTACCTGATCCTGCCCTTCCCCGCCAGAGATCCCCCCCTTTCTCTCCCCCCCATTTTTTATGCCAGGGGGTAATTTCAGTTAAGTCCTTACCAGTGGTGGCATAGCTACAGCAGTAAGACAAGAGGAAGAGCTGCGGGATGAAGTGTTGTGTGTGTAACTGTTTGCCCCAAGTAGTTAAAGCCTGTCAGGTCTCATCTATCGGAAATCAATCTCACCGTCGTGCTATCAACCGCTGCTATAACGCTGGCACAACAAAGGTCGTTCGTGTACATCCTGATACATGACATTTTGTAGTGTTATACTCCTGTACACATCAATGGGATTTTCCTTTGAAAGAAATAAAGATATTCAAAAAGCAACGTAAAAAGCCTTAAAGCAATAACGCTAACAGATTAAAACTTAATTAAGCCTTTTTTTATTAGTAGCAGTAACAGTATACATGTTTTCCTACGCTCCCCTGGGAGCACTGCAAGCAAGATCCCGTTGCACTGAGTGACAGACAAGCACGGAGCAGAGACCAACCACTGAACTTACTAGACTGCAAAAAGCAAGATAGCAGATTGACAGACCCCTCACCTTTCACAAGTGCCGCAGCACTGAACAACCATTTCAGATCAGCCTAAATGCTCAGCTAGCCCATGCCCTTATGATGAGTTGTAATAGGTGCTTTAGGAAAAGAATATAAAAACCAAA